GCTAATAAGAACTGAATAAAAAACACTTCTTGACTTTGAAGGTATACAGCAACATTCCCAGTCAAAATATTTTCACTAGGAATGAATGTGCTACTGCTTAACCATGATTTACATTTAAATTCTGAGATGAACAAAAATATCGTGGAGGAAGTAACTTTAGAAAAACACTGCTCAATCATTGTCTTTTTTTTTTTTTTTTTAATAAAGAAGAATTATAGTTAAGTAAACTTATGGATGAGATTTGTATTTTTCTTCTATACATGGCCTGATTCAAGTACCATTAAAAAGTCTTGCCATTTGAATCTAGTGGGAATTTCATTAATGCTTTACATTACTAGCTAAATTTCCAATTGATGAGTCAGGTACAACAAATTCAAAGCAACAGTGTTTGACATTCAAGACAACATTGTAGCTGATGTTCAGTAAGTGACTCTCTTTCACAATGAACACAGTAACATTTTACATTACCATCCCTCATTGAAAGTAACAAACCAGCCTTTATAGCTGATATATTTTCCTTTTCCAACTTCTGGCACTGATGTGGGCAGTTTAAATGGCTTACACTTGCTACAGTACATTACTAAGCATGTTTGTCCCTCTGCAAAATGGCATATTTCCAGATCAGCAATACAGCTTCTTCTTTTTTTAAAAGCTATTATTACAGTGACTCAGGTTACTATCCGTCTTTACAGTGAAAATTATTTTGATGCATTTTATATGACTACTGGGAAGTAACAGAATAATATTTTATTTTCCATAATGATCGTATTGGTCTGGATTTTAAGTAAATTCCTCTCTAAGGCTGTGTTAATTGCTGCTCTCTCCTAATAAAATCAGTACTAACTAGAGATAAAAATAAGGAAAATGAATTAGAAAATATTTTTTTAAATATATTTATTTAAAGACTTACCTACTCTGAATAAAATCATGACCCCTTCTCAAATCTGTGTTAGCTTTCCATAGCCCTCATCTCCCTTTCTTCCTCATTCCACTGTACCAGCAAGTTCCTTCTTCAATTTTCTTGGAGATTTTCCTGTATCTTGTCTCATACTACTGGATTTCCTCTAATTTACACACCCTATATTTCTAGCGTTAACAAAGCCTTATGTACACTAGTGTCACTAGGACTGGCATTATGCAAGACAGAAATGAAAACAAACAAACAAACAAACAAAAAAAAAAACAAGCTGTAGAATCCAGCCTCTGTACTACAAAATTTATACTGTTAGAATGACGCAACTGAAAGGAGAAAATAAATAGGAGACTAAATAGTACAACAGTTTTTATGGAACACGTAGGGCCATAATAGAAGAAAGGGCCACTAATAGAAGAAAGTGGTCAGTTCCCTTAAAAGAAATAACCACCTCCCCAGAAATGATACCTTGATGACTTCTTCCTTCTTTTCATGCTAATCTGTGCATTCCATGCCTAAGCCTGTTTAATTTTAAAATACTGGAATTCCTGTAAATCTTTCCATCTCTTTCTCTGTTCTCTGCCAGTTTTTAAATAATAATAATAAAAAAAGAAATATGCAAAAGTTATTGTCTATACAATTCATGTTTCATGATAAAAACAACAGCTGGGCAGAAGAGGCAGCTCCTAAAAGTGCCTCAAAGAAACTTCAAGTGTGGGCTCACATACCTCTAGATGCCAGAGAATCCACATTTGAAAGATAGTCTAACTGAAGAAAATAGTTTCAGTTGGCTGGAAATCCATTCATTCAGCTCTGTTACTCATGCAATAATCTTTTTCTTTTGTATATGACTTCTTCTTCTCAGTTTAATTTTATTTCAGTGGAAGATGTTGTGCCAAAGGAAGTCTGGAGGTAATCAGTGATTACATCCTTGATATGGTCTGCTTTCTAGTTCAAAGGCAGCATGTGTGAGGATACCTGCAAGGTAAGGTGAGGTGCATAGCAATCCAAAGTATTTAAAAAGGATTTCTTAGGTAGTGATAAGATTTAAAGATGGGCAGATAGGCTTGATTTAGATGGCAAAGAGAACAAACAAGCAAGCAATGGGAAAAGGCTGCAGCAGAGCATCTGCAATGGTCAGTAAAGAGTCAAAACCCACCTGTCCTCTCCCCATCCCAGGTAAACTGATTCTATTTAGCGTTACAGTAAAGGACAATTAGCGTGACTAAAGTAGCGTGCAAATTGCCTGCTGAGGTTTTATTCAGATATGCAATTTCTTTATTATCAGTTTGCATATCTCAAAAGAGCCTATTCTCTTAGTGCCAGTATGATTTATACAGGTGTACCCAGCTGCATTGCAACTACATCCCACAAGATTAAATGAGACTGTTTTCCCCAACAGTCTTCAATACTTAAGCCAGGAATTCACTCCTTTAAGATTATAAGCAATTGTATTGCTGGAAGATATGCAAGTGTATTGAGACAACTTCAGGAACAAACAGTTCCATATCCTTTCCTCTCCTCCCACCTCTACTTTAATGACTTGACACAGACAAGCACAATTCTTTCCTGAGAGCTCTGTAGAAGAACAATGAGTAGCTATAATAACTGATGAAAACAGTGAAATCACAGGCCACTTCCTAGTTAGACAAGGGTGAAAAAAAGTACATCACTTATAATTTCATTATGCATCATAAGGCAATTGGAGAAAAAATACTCTCAGAAAATAATAGCTCCTTAGCATCAAGGCTGTATTTGGAAGCAAGGGGTACAAGTCTACTTCCAGGTAAAGTGTGAATGCTTTACCTACACTGAATAAAGTAAGCCCATTCTAAATAATGGCAAAGTATCTGCACCAAGCCAAACAGAACCAATGTAAAGCTTCCTCAAAGTGTTGCTCAGATGACAAACTATAATTGTTCCACGACCTTGAAGTAGTCATAATAGCCTATCAGAGCCAAAGACCTTCCTACTGATTTTACTGGCTTTGAATCAAGCCCCAAATCACTCTAAGACTGCAATTAACTTTTGCAGAGCTGTTCCCCAAGAAACTAATGCAATTCTGATTCAAACCAGAACCCTTTAAAAAGAGCATGACTTCATGGGGGTTTATATATTTCTGTAGCAAAAGTTAACCTTTATTATAATCTATGATTCTTCAGATTCAGGAAATAATTATTCCCTGTAGAATCACTCTTGTTCGTGGTATGCAAATAATTTGGCAACGTGTTTTTTCTTTTGTCAAATCACATACTCATTTTAACCTCTGTGTAGACTGGCAAAAGTGAGCTGCCACACAGTATGGGTACAGATATCTATTTCTAGATATCGTTTCTTCAAACATTTATCTATGAGTAATTTTGACTTAACTACTCAAATGACTGTGTGTGTCTGTGTGAAAGTTGACAGGATCAGCATGTGTTCTTTTGGTTGTTCTTTTTTGTCTCTTCCAATGTAAGTTAAGTCTACAATACAATGAAGTTGTTGAATAAAAACAGTAATTATTACAGCAATTAAAATATAAGACTTGAGTCAGCATTTTGCTGCTATTCCTGACTCTCCCTGACTTGTTTTATAATTTTGAGCAAGTACCTTAGCTCTTGATTATGCAAATATTTTTACTTATGCTAATTATAACAAAAAAACTGTATATGGGATAATACAGCTTGATTTGATTAAATTAACAAAATCAGTCTTATGCTGTTTCTGTAATTACACACATTGCTACGAACAGAACAACAGAATTATTCTGTTGTACTCCAATGCAGTGTTATAACACACTGAGTTTAAGAGAACACTTATCTACCAGTACTAAGCACTTCCCAAGAAAATGCAGCAGCACACAACAGGAGAACAAAAAGGAAGGCAGAAAAACTGGGATTCCTACCTAGAGTAATCTCTCCCAACTACTTTACTTCTGCTTCTTCCCTTAGATTCAGCCTTTGTCTCTAAGCTTAACTTACTTTTCCTACGAGCACATGAACATCTGCTACCTTTTCGGGATGCTAGAGTAACAAGATACACCTGAGAAGGGATGAGAGGCAAAAAGAAGAATGAACGTATCTTTAAGCCTTATGGCTTCCCAGCCTGACAAGGCAGACGTGGACCAGAGCCTGTGGTACAAGCCCTGCCAGATGAAAGCAGAATTAACTCTCTTCGCTTATTCTGCATTCACAGCGGGCGCTCTGTTCTTCGCTCACTGATGCGACTCTTCTGAGCAACAGCTGAGCGTGAGAGGACAGGCCAAGCCGTCTTTCAAGAACCGGGCAGTGAGCAACAGACAGGCTGCAGGCAGATTTCCCGCTCCAGCTTCAGGCAGGGGCGGGCGGTCGCTCCCCCCCGCGCACCCAGTCGCCCTCCGGGCCCGCAGCAGGTCTCACACGGGACGGCCGGGCGCTCCCGACCGCGCACACGCAGACCCAAC